AGCAGCAGCAGCAGCAGCAAAGCAGTAGCAGCAAAGAAGCAGCAGCAAAGCAGCAGAAATAGCAAGAGCAACAAACAAACAGCAGCAGCCGAGAAGCTCAATACGAATCCAATCACACCAAAGCTGCAGCACCAGTAGAAAGGAAGCAAAATAATGCAGAGGGAGGCGAAGCTCGATACGAAACCAATCACACAAAACGACGAGGAGGGAGGAGAAGCTCGATACGAAAATACGAGGCCAATCACACGAAGCCACGGTACAATCCGCGGGGGGCCCCCTGTGATGAAGAATCGCCTTTCGCGACCCCAAAGTCATGGCGTGTGGGGAGGAACCTGCCCCGAAGCTAAAGCTAATAGAACTCAGGCAGCTAAAGCCACCGCAGCTACCTTTCGTGATAAATGTCACCATCACCACGGGGCAGCTCTGCGTTGGCCTGCTCGGGTGGTTCTCCGTTCAGCTCCCGAGTCCAGGCCTCAGAAAGTAGAAACAGTGTCAGACACGCAATGTCAAACATTGTTACACATTCACCAAATCAAGTCAGCATCAAACATGCAATTTTTGGACTCTACTGAGCAAAAATGAGCCAACCAGTCTTTTGTGAGCTCTTCGATAGTCTTTGCAGCCACCATGTGAGGCCGTGTCGCTGCCTTCACTCCACAACACGAGAGGGCAGCAGCCAAACCTATCCCTTGTATCTTCGCAATCAGATCTACGGGTCATCATCGTCTCCAATTGCCCGCTTCTTGAAAAGGTCAAACCAGTGATCTTTGTCCTTGGCCTTTCGGAGGACCAAATTCACTCGATTTGCTCTCACCACGTGCTTGCATTCTTCTGGCTTCATTTCGCCATGAGTCTTGTAGCATGCAAAACGCAAGTTTCTCCCCTGCAAACCTTCGACCAGAAGCTCAAAGGAACGATCGCCGAACTGCGACCTCACTTGCTCTGGATTTAGCTTGCCAACACCATCCATTGGCACAAGCACTTTCACAGTTTCATCGCTGTCCTCCCACGTGTAGGAGTCCAGTGTCTCATATTTGGTGATATCTGTGCCAAAAGGCGATTGCTTGGGATTGAACTTGATTTTGTTTTCGACTGAAGTTCGAATGGGTTCGGGCTTCGTCACAGTCATGGTTGCCTGCGGCTTGGAGATGAAGGTGCCTCTGTCTTGATTATGAGCGTAGTAATAGGATAGCTCTCCGCGCTTCTCTCTGCTGGCTTTCAATGCTCCAGAATCTGCGCTCTGGGGTAAAGGTCGCAGAAAGAAGTCGTTGTGCTCCCATGCAAAGGCGGCCACAGCAGATCGGTCTGGAATGGGACATAGATCTTGGTTCCAAAAGCACAGGTTGTCATATCCCAATTGTGGGGAGAAGCGCCGCTCGAATTCTTGCAGGAAAGTCTGTTTCAAAGTACCGAATTGAGTTTCCTCGGGTCGACCAACGTGAATGGGCAGGACAAAGTTGGGCTGGCCCCCGATGTCCAAATGAGCATACACCTTGCACGTCATGCCGCCAAACCCACCCAGGAGAGAGCTGAAAGAAAACTTGACTCAAGTCTGCAATCCTGTTCATGTATCTGTGTGCAATCATGCTTATCTGTTCTCCTGTGCATGCGCATGAAAGAAATGCGCATTTGACTTGTCGTAGGCCTTTTGAGCCAACCTGCCTGCATGGCTACAACTGTCCATGCTAGTGAGGCATGACACAATGACAATGACCAAGAACTTTAAAGAAAAAGAAGTGGCTGAAGTCTCAGGCTGAACCCATCTCGCCGAAGAACCCACCTAAGACCTCCCATGGCAACCTGCATCGGTGCTGACAGATTGGAGCACGGGAACGCATTTGACCTAGTAGTAAGGCCAGGAGCCCCTAGTAGCGTCCTTGCTCCTAGTAGCTTCTTGTTACTACTAGTAAGGCACTTGTTACTAGAAGCGATGCCCTTGCTCCTAGTAGCTTCTTGTTCCTTATTTGAATCCAGAAGTGTTTGTCAGTCTCTTTCGCACGCTCTCCGAGCTCTCCTCTGAAATCCTCCGCTCTTTCTTATGTCCATCGCCTCGTGACGGTTGGAAGCATGTGTCGCATGGTTGAACAAGGAACCCAATCCTGCAAGAACCTTTGCAAACCATTCTTATGACGAGTGATTTGCAGTGGCCAAGTGCGTGAATGGCTTCCGGCCTCCAGCACTGCTTCGTGTCGGGTGTCGCCATTCAGATTGCCCTTCAAAATGCAAAAGCCCTCGGCAGAGTCAAAGGATGTGAAGATACAGCATTCATTTTTGGCAAGAATCCTCAATGAAGTTCGTGATCGCTGAGTTTATGTCCTTTGAAATAATTATTGATTCAGAACGCTTGATGAGCCCTGCTCAGTTTGTCTGCCTTTTCCAGCAGCCTTCTGCCAATACGCCAATCTTTGGCGTACCAAGGTAGCTCTGACCAATCCTGCCATCAAGGCATCTGGCACAATCCTTGTGAGGACAATGACTCCCTAAATACTGAAGCAACCTCTCTTTACCCTGCCAAATTTGATGCTGTTCTCACAGAGCTGCTACCACTGTCTCCTCAAAGTCGTAGGCTGCTGGGGCAACTGGGGGTACCTGGCACAGCTAATGGTCAGTGTCCCCTCCTTGACAGTCTAAAATTGAAAGTCAAATGTTCAAAACATGTCAAGTCCGTTGCTTTGAGACGAAACGTCCAACAAATCAAGTCACCCTGCCCCTGCCTGGTCATCCTGGGATATTGGCAAGTCGCTCACCGTCCCAGTTAGAGCGTCAACCTGTCAACGGGCAATGTCAGCAATGCCCCAATTGTACCCTGCACAGTCTCAGCTTTCAGAACGTCAAAGGTTTTTTGAAAGATGTCAAGATGCCGATCTGAAAGAAGCGTTCTCTTCATCGAATCCTTGGACACCGCCAACAGCACGTCCGAGACATCTCGGTACTTCTCCAAGTTTGCACGGCTTTTGTGGATATCCTCGCGCAACACAGATCTGCCGCAGGATGGGAAAGACCTCTTTAGTTCTGATGCAATTTCAGAAGTTTTGCATCAATTCTAACTCTCTCAGTCAGAACGCTTCAGTACAAAGACTTGAAAGCAAAAACAATGACCAGGGTGCCTCCACAGCACGGACCAAGACCGGCTCAGACAAGACCTGCTACAGTCCACCCAATAATTGAAATGTCCCTTTGGCACAAAAAAACGCCTGTTGAACCGATGCATCCTCCTTGATGGCCTCGCGCATAAGCAGCTGAATGTAACATGAAAAAGATTGAAGCAAATGTCTTTAGTTTTTGGACGTCACAAAAAACATGTGCCACCTCAAGGACGCCAGCATCATCGGTCCCTGCCACACGCTGCAAGAGCGAAGTGACAAAGCCTCCAAGCATCACCTGGCATGAAAATTTACACATTGTTCACGAAATGGTCGCCGCTTTGCTCAAAACTGGACTTTTTGGTACGCGCAGGGCTTATCTTTTCGTCGTTGAAGACCTAGGACCTATGAAATAAACACAACTATAACCGAGTGTTTCGGAATATTTGGTGTCTTCGACCACAAGACCACAGAGCCTCCGCATCGGCAACAACGTTCGTTTCAACCGCTACTCATCGATGCTGCATTTTGAGAACAATGTTGTGTGATTCCTTTCGGGTTTCTTGCATACATGCAGGGTTGTTCAAAGCAATCATCCATGAAATGGTCGCAACACGTCCTACCTGGATGTTTCTACATTTTGTCTCGTGGACGGTCGCTCTGCCAATGTTATGCCAAGATGAAAGTGCATGAATTTGAGACCCATCTTGCACCAAAACAAGCTGCGGCAAATATATCACACAAATAGCTGCTATGGCAATCCCATCTCTGCGCTGTACGCCCCCAGTATTCATCACCATCATTGAATGTTCCGAAGCACTTCAAACACAATGTTGCCAAACGAGTTTCAAGAATCAGCAGCTCCCACTTCAACACCGCAAGTGTAACTTTGTTCTTGTGCCACGTTTGAGTAGGCCTCTGTGCGCACATGCCTCTGTCAACCCCTTTCACTCGTCCTCAAGTTTGTACACCTCCTCTTGAGATCTTTCTCATGACATTGCGGCTGTCTCAGCAGTTCCTTCATTGCAAGTGCGGTCTCGTCTGCCTCCCCTGTCTCATCCTCATCCTCATCCTCATCCCAACCGATTTGATGCCATGCATCCCTCACTTTTGGGAATGGAACCATCGGGACTTCACTACGTTTTTCATAAAAACTCTCGAAGGTGGAGGTTGCAATTATGTCAAGAACCTCTGCGCGTCCCACGTCCAAGTACTTGAATGCCAATTTTGTTTGCTCTCTGGAAGCTGTCTGTGTTCTCAACCTGAATCCAAACCTGTTCAGCTCCACGTTTCTTCAATCGTCAAGTTGTGGTTCCATTTTGTCAATGAACATCCCTCCAGGACTTCAGGATTGAAGTGTTTGCCTACAACTGAGTCTGAGTTTACCAGCCACGCCATTTGGAAGACGCTTTTAAAACGTTCAGCAGTTCTTTGCCCAGGCGTCCTTCAAGTGCAATCACCCTGCTGGCTGGTGTAGTCTGGACTTATGGTTCGTCGCAACATCACCGCTCACATTTTAATTTCCTCTCGCTCGTCGCCTCCGCTTGCTTTCTAGCTAACCTCCAAAGCGAGAAGTGCGGGCAATGGCAGCGAGCATTAAGCCTGCTCAAGGGGGATGTTAGATGCAAAAGTGCAGCCAAATGTCATCAGCTTCAGTGCGACCATCAGCGCATGTGAGAAGGGCGGACGGTGGCAGCAAGCGCTCAAGGAAATGCCTGAGGCAATTGTTCCACCAAATGTCATGAGCTACAGTGCTTGCAGTCAGTGCTTGTGAGAAGTGCGCGCAATGGCAGCGAGCATTAAGCCTGCTTAGGCTTGCACGAGTGGAGCCGCCGTACGTGCAGGAAATGCACAGGTCAGCTTGTGCTGTTTTGTGAGTGAGTCTCCTGAAAGCCAAAACCCGAAAAAGAACCAAACACAGAAGAACCCAACAAAACACACCAAACAACAGAACCAAACAAAGACAGCAAGGAGTGCGAGGAGACTCAAGTTCATCATGCAGGAGTGAAACCTAGAGAGAAACACAGGTGAAACATGATTGGGCAATGAATTCTTGCAAAATGCTTCAATGTGAGCCATTTGGAGTGCGGTACGAACTGGTTTCTGGCAGCATCGGTAGCACTTAGCTTGAAGGCCTGTTTACACAGGCCATCTCACCAGGCACACAAAAGTTTATTTTGTGTTCACGTTTGGATTGCACCCGAAGAGACGTGGAAGGTGCAACTGGGCGAACTGTGATCAAAAAAA